CAGCCGCGGCCTCCACAGACGACCTCGCTCCTCCTGGAGATGCGGGTGGTGGGTGGAGACGCACCTGCAGGTGGTGATGAGTAAAGGGGCCCCAGGACACACAAATAAATACACACAAATAAAACGATTCCCCATATTTTCCCATATTGTCTGGGGTTCCGTCTTCCCCCCACTTCCCATATTTTCGCAGATTTTCCGGGGAATCGACGATGAATTGTGTCTGTGTGTTTTTCCCCTCCTGAATGAAGGATGGGGATGGGACGAAAGGCGGATTAGGTAAGATCCGCCGTGACATTCGACTTGCTACTGCTGCAATGCCAGCCTTCGCAGGCACAGGGTTGCGAACATCTGGCCTCCAGGATCTCCCCCCCGCGCCCTCAGAGGGCTGGACCTATAGGGAGGGGGCTCAGGCTCGAGTAGGACCACTGAGGGCGGGCCACGAGGAGCTCTCCACCCGTCTGCAACCGGATGCATCTGAGACGAGGTTTCTTCCTCCCCTCCTGCTCGACTCGTGTTCGTGACCGCCATCCGACAGCGAAGGGTCGTCCGCATGGCCGCCCCGAGTTACGGCCACGTGCGCTGGGCCTGGACGGCAGGCCTTTGTGTCCAATCAGATGGCTGCAAGTCTTGGGCCAATGGCCACGGATGGGAAGAAAGACGGGGGGAAAGGTACGAGCGTGGTGCCAAGGGAAGCATGTGTGTTAGCAATGGGGGAAGCAATCGGGGCGGAAGGGCGACGTCGCGGGGCGTGACCGCTCCTCCGACCATCCGCCTCGGCCTGGAGGTGAGGGGGCATGCTGCTCGAGCTGGGATCAAGCCTGGCTCGAGTTGTTCCTTCTGATGGGCTGTGAAATGGCACGCCCCCGTTCCTGATGTCATTTCTGAGGGCTGTGCAGTAACACGCCCCCTCCCCCGAAGTGGGGTATTGATCTCAGACCCGCATTCCTGAGGTGTTTACCATCACGGACAGCCTCACACCCCGCTGCCTCGCCACAGCTGCAACGCGCGAGACTGGCCACCAACGGGCCCGGACAATTTCTGAACATACCACCCTCCCTCCCCCCGGGCGCAAATGTTCAGAAGTTGTCTGGGGCCACCCCGCGTTCCCCCCAGTGCAATGAGCCCCTGCTCGGGGCCACGCTGGCTGTCGTGGGCTACCGGTGACCTCAGAAGGCCGCTTGGGGCCCAAAATCACCGACGGCCGGCCAGGCCTAGAAAGGTGTGCAGGACCGCCGGTATTGCCGCTGGGCTGTCCTGCAAGACAGAAGCTCCAGCGTCGTTGCCGGGCTGTGCCTTGACTTGCCCCGTGTGGGGCGGGGGGAAGGTGCGCACCACTGCCGGCATTGCCGCCCAGGTGTGTCCTGGAGATTAATAACACCGACCAGGCGTGCAGGTCTGCCAGCTCAGTGTCCTGGAGGGCACGGGGCGGAGGAGGAGGAGGAGGAGGAGGAGGAGGAGGAGGAGGAGGAGCGCCCGTACCTCGAGGAGGTGGAAGAGGAGAAGGACGGCCGTTTGCGGGAACTCAATCCCCCGCACTCGTCTCGTGCGCCGCGCCCGGCCGCGCGCGCGCCCCTGGGGGGGCTGGCCTCAGCGCGCCGCCGCAATGGTGGCTGCGCGCGTACGCCGTGAACACGGCCAAGACCGACAGGCGCAACCTCACGATCAGAGGCGGAGCCTCAAGATCTACAGGCTGAGCCTCGAGAGCCACGGGCAGAGCCGCAAGATCTACAGCCAGAAGCGCAAGACCTACAGGTTGACCCCAAAGATCCACAGGCAGAACCTCAAAATCTACAGGCTGAGGGCTATGAGACCTCCCACCTTTTTGGAGACTTACCGGCAAGGATGCCGAGACCAAACATGCATAAACGAAAATGGGCGCGAATAGATGAGTGGGATACAACGTCCGGCATGCAATATATCCTCGACCCGACGACATCGTTCTTAGTGCTGCGGCCGCCCTCGCGAGAGCGTCCAAGCACGAGCTGCATAAGATGCAGCCTAACTGCGAGAACGAGCTGGGTACCAGGCAGCCCAAGTACGAGAACGAGCTGCGTATCAGGTAGCCCGAGGAAGACCATCACCAGTGCGCACGCCACTAAGACCGACACTTAGAATGACGCGACCGAGCAGACCGAATGGGGTTACTAAATACGTCGTCGTGGAGTTACCGTGGACAGCGGCCGCGCTGCCTACGACGAGCACGACTTCAGCCGCGCCGCATGCTACCAGTACGACGACGGCAACTTTTTCAATAGCGACCTGTGCTCCTACGACCCACACGACTACACTGGCCGCCAGGAGGTGAACAGTACGACCTGGCAGACGACGACTCCGATTCGAATCTCGGGGGCTTCGACGAGAGCGTGCCGTCTGAACTGCTACAGCCACCAACAGAGCTACCAGGGCCACCAGACGACCTTCGGGGCCACAACCTGCACTACGAGGACCTCCAGCTGAGCCACGCGAGGCACCAGGAGAAGTGCCAGGGTCACCTGCTGAGCTACAAGAATCACCAGAAGAGCTACAAAGGCAACCAGCTGAGCTACGCGGGCCGCCGGCTGAACTACGAGGACCACTAGCAAGGCTACGAGGACCACAACCTGAGCTACGGGAATTAATTAGTTGCTGAGCTTCTCTGGCCACCTGCTGAGCTACCAGAGCTTCCAACAGTTCTACGAGGGGCACCAACTGAACTACGAAGGCCTACGGCTGAGCCACGAGAGACACCAGGAAGGGTACCAGGGCCATCTGGTAAGCTACGGGAGCCACCAGCAGAGCCACAAGGGCAACAAGCCCAGCTACGAGGGCCACAGGCTGAACTACTATGACCACGAGGAGGGCTACGAGCACCACAACCTGAGCTATGGGAGCCACTGGCAGAGCTACCCAGGCCACCTTCTGAGCTACCAGAGCTTCCAACAGACCTACGAGGCCCACCAGCTAAACTACGAGGACCTCCAGCTGAGCCACGAGAGGCACCAGGAGAGGTACAATGGCCACCAGCTGAACTACCAGAACCACCAGCACGAGGGCCACCAGCTGAGCTACGAGGACCACAGGCTGAACTACGAGATCCACAAGCAGGGAACCGAGGGCCACATGCTGAGCTGCAAGAGCTACCAGCTGAGCTACTAGGGCAACCGGCTGAGCTGCGAGGACGACAGGCTGTACTACGAGGATCACGCGCAAGGCTACGAGAGCAACAACCTGCCCCACGGGAACCACTGGCAGAGCTACATGGGCCACCTGCTGAGCCACCAGAGCTTCCAACAGACCTACGAGGGCCACCAGCCCAACTACGAGGACCACAAGCAAAGCCTCGAGGGCCACAAGTAAGGCCACGAGGACCTCCAGCTGAGCTACGCCGACCACTATCAGGCGCAGGGCTTCAGCCTGAGCTACGAGGGCACCCAGCTGAGCTACGAGGGCAACCTGCTGGGCCACCTGAGCTGCGAGGGCCACGAGCTGAGCTTCGAGCTCGGCAAGCTAAGCGTTGCGAGGACCACACGTCGGGCTACGAGGATCGCAAGCTGGACTGCGAGGGCCGCCAGCAAGGCTGCACATGCCAAGCTGAGTTACGCCGGACACGAGCTGAGCAGCAGGGGCCTCCAGCACAGCTACCTGCGCCACCAGCTGAAGCACACGGTCCGCGAGCGGAGCCTCCAGAGTCCCCGACAGCTACGAGGACCACCAGCCGAATCACCAGGGCAACGAGCCGAGCTACGAGGGCCGTGAGCGGTACACCGAGAGCCACCGGCTGAGCTACGTGGGCCATGGGAGGAGGACGAGGCGAGCGACGAACAGGACGAGCCCATCTTCATCATGTACGCTGCGCTCCAGGGGCAAGACTTCCTCAGGGCCATGATCGCCGAAGGGCAAGCAAATCAGGGCCACCTCGAAACTAACGAACCCCGCGTACAAAGCCCAACGACATAATGGTGCCCATAGAGATGATTGTCGACCGCCACTACGGGGACGGGGCGCGATGATTCGCTAGCCAGGCCCCTCAGGAACCATCAAAGCACTCTTGTCGGCCCTCGATCACTACGAGGCGCACCATGATAGGATGCCTATAGGCCAGCGACCCACGACTGTCCCCGCCGCAAAACTTCTACGACAACGGGAGGGAGACGAGTGCGACGACGAGGACAACGGGAGCGACGTGGAGCACGAGGAAAGTAACGAGAAGTACAAGACCTACTCAAACAGAAGACGGGTGGAACGCTGAATACTACGACCTGGCAAGCGACGACTCTGGAGAGTCATGGCGAGACGGGCCTGCCTGAAGCGGGGGAAGATTACGAACTACTTCAACGCTGCGGACAAGGGTTTGAGGTGCACGTGCCACGTTTACAGCGCTACAGACAAGGCGCCCCGTGCAGGACAAGGGTACTACAAGTACTGCGCTACTGACAAGATGCCACGTCTGCATCCATCAGGTACATCATGAGCGGCCTGCCCGCTCCTCACCTTTCCCCCTCCTCCTCTTGGGCCTCAGGATGGACGATGCCATTGTGCCCTCTCCGCCTCTCTGGGAAAGGTTGGGCCCCTGCGGCCCTGGCCGCGGGCGCCCGCGGCAGGCGCGGGGCGCCGCTCCAAGTGTGACGCGCGATCGCGGTGCGAGAGACAGGAGGAGGAGGACAGGAGAAGGACAGGAGAAGGAGGATAATGATAATGATAAGGAGGGGGGCCTAACATCAGGGATACGTAAGACTCGGGTTCGCGGGACTCGGGTTGGTCTGACGTGGCCGTCAGGAAAATGACGAGACCCGATCTGACATGTGATGCAAGCCCCCGCTGCAAGCGTCCCACGAAGACCGGCGCGCCACAACTCAGGACGCGCTCGTCAAGATGCGTCGGCAAACCGGAGCTCCGGCGACGAGGGTTACGTCGAGGACCCGGCCGAGGAAGATGAGGAGGAGCAGAGGACGGGGGAGGATGAGGAGGAGGAGGAGGAGGAGGCCAGGACGGAGGAGAAGCGGGGGCTCCCGCCCACAGGCCTTGCCCTCCTCGGCGGGGTCGGCGTCGTCCTTGGCAGAGCCTCGGTGGGCGCCCGCCAGGCCGTGGCCCGCCTAGCCCCGCCCTCGCCCCGGCTCTGCCCCGCAGCCGGCGGAGGTCGCAGAGCGCGGCGAGCTCGCCCGAGGAGGACGGCCTTCCCTCCGCCTCCTCCTCCTCCTCCTCCTCTCCTCTCCTCCTCCTCCTCCTCCTCCTCCCTCCTCCTCCCCCTCCCCTTTCCCTGCCCCTCCTCCTCCTCCTCCTCCTCCTCCTCCTCCTACCCGTCGCTCCGAGATGAAACCGCAGTACGTGGCGTAAACAATGAACAGCGATTGAATCTGGCTGGCAAAGGGTGCTGGCTGGCCTGGTAGAGCCAAAGAAAGTGAACAGGGCCAAGGCGTGTAAAGCGGTGCGTCAGGCGCCTGCAGCAAATCCTGTTTTGTCGGTTCGCCCCAAACCCTCTCGGTGACGAGGCCCGCGTGAGTTTTGCAAGTGTTTTGGTCAAGCACGAACCCTTTTGTCCATTGACGGGTAAAAGCAACAAGAAACTGGCCGCAGAAGGGAGGGGGCAGCATAGACGCACGTGGACCCCGACAATAGAAAAAAGGCTGCCCGAAAAAGAGGCTGCCAAACACAAGAGGACGCGGACCGCACACACTTCGAAGTTGAGAAAAGGAGGCAAGTTGTTCAGCATTCCAAGTCCAGGTAGCAATTAATGTTCAAGAAATCGCCGTTGTGGTCGATGTGAGGCCGAAATTTGTCCCCAATATACTCTCTCTTCACGGTGTGTCGGAAACCTAGGCTTCGGCGTCGGTGGTGCTTTGTACTCGGGCGTTGGACATTTGGGCTTGGCATAGATGAAGCCTTGAACGCCGTATTGATGTCATTCCGTTGTTGGGTATCTTGAAGTCGTGAGTTGTGTCTGCCCACCTCTTCATAGTATTTCTGGTATTGCCGCTGGTGGTCGCGAATTGTGTCTGGGAAGTGCAATAGCTGCTAGCCGTTGGCGTCGTCCGCGTACTGTGTATCAATATGCCCATTGTATGCTGGTACTTGTGTTGTGTCTGTTTGTCCATCTAGCGTGGCAGGTGGCCTGGGTGGAAGTAGGCTTGGAGGTTTGTGGGATGTCTACTAGCCGCCATCTTTGTGCAGTTGCCGCTTTAGGTGGTGGGCACGTCATTGGGATCCTGAGGTGCGGTGGCGGTGGGTGCATTGGGCGTCGGAAGGCCCTGTCGTTGGCAATGGCCTTCGGCATTGGAGTCCTCGAATTGGCTGTTTGCTGGTTGGTCGTATGTGTGTCTCCCCGTTGTGTCGCTTGTTCGTCGTGAAGTGGAGGTGGCGGCGCAATGTCGGAGTGGTCGCTGCTGGCGCGGGTTGCCGATGGTGCGTCGGCGAAGTAGACGTGCTGGCCACGGATACCATGTAGCAAATGTGCCACCTCATGTTGATTGACTGCCCAGTCACCTGCCTGGCAGGAATGGAGCCATCACGAGACGTCACGATAGCTCTGGTCGCACATGCGTCTGATACTGTCGTGGGGCTGTTGATCTTGTTGCGGATGTCGGATGTACTGGTTAAATCTATGCCTGCGAATCCCACTAGCTTTTTAGGGCGCAGGTGCTCCGGATAGCTTTCTCTCACAACCCCCGTCTTCCATTTCGGGGAAGAATCTACCCCTCCCCACACCCCCTCATCTGGACCTGGAGGGGACAGTTCGCGAGTTGCTGCAGCGTCCAAGATGGCCCAAGACGGCTCTAAGAGGGCCTCTGAGAGCCCACGATGATCTCCAATATGGCTCAAGATAGCTTAAGAAGATGCCTGGGGATGGCCCCCAAAATGCTCCAAGAGGCCCCAAGAACGCTCCAAGACGGCTCGGAGATGCCTCCGATACTTCCCAGGAGGCCGCCAAGATACCAACATCCGTCAAACACCTACAGGACATCAATCACTTGTGTCTTCTCGCCTTTTCGATCCCGATGGCCTTCCGAAGTCTCAAGGCAGCTCCAAGAGGGCCCATGCGGGCCCCGAGAGAGGCCCAAGAGAGCCCAACGACGGCCCCAAAAACGCCCCAAGAAGTGCATGTTGGGGCTCTGGGGCTCTCGAAGGGGGGGTCGTAGTAAAGCTCCCATATTCGTTGATCGATCTCCTCCAAGATGGCCCCCATGGCTCCCGAGAGCGCCTCAAGAGGGCCCCACGAGGCGCCGAGGAGGCCCCAAGAGGCGCCCAAGAGGCCTTCAAAAGGCTCCCAAGAACCCCCCAAGAGACTCCCCGAGGCAACCACGACGCTCTAAGAGAGGCCCAAGAGAGCCCCACGACGGCCGCAAGAGTGCCCAAGAGTGTCCCAGGAGCGCTCCAACAGGGATCCTTCCTCTGTGTGCTGCCCCCCAGGATCGAGGCAACTCCTCTGGGCATCGTCTCTGGATGGGCAGGTGGGGATACTTTTTGTCGCGACCGCAGGCGAGAGCGCCAGCGGCGAGTCAGGTTCGAGCGGGCCGCGCAAGAGCCGAATTGCCTATCGCCGACGAGCCGGCGGCCGCCTCAGCAGCGCCTCGGCGGGCGGGCCGGCGCATGGGGGGCGCAAGCTGCAGCTGCCAGGGGCCAGGTCCGGGAGCGCGCACATGCAAGATTCGCCAACCAGGGTTGGGGCGCAGCCAAAATGGCGCGAGGGACGATAAAGGAAGAGACCAGGGAGGCAACCAGCCAGTACACTGCGTCGACTGCCATGGGTGCCAAGACTGTCCCAAACTGGTGCACCGGGTGGCGCCACCAAAATCGCACACCAGGTCCCTTAAGGGAGTACTGATCCTGCGAACGACCGTCAACGGGATGGTCCCCGGGACGAGCGAAGTAGCCAGGGCAACGATGGATGAAATCGACACCGCACAGCAGCCACCGGACCTGGTAAACCACGCGCACTCTCGAGCAGGAGCCGCCGACTGAGAGCTGACCAGACGAGGGAGATCAACGTCTCAGGACCGGGGCGAGTGAGCCAGAGGATGCCGTGGGCATCGCCGCCAGGGACCGTGGATCGGGTCAACACGGTCGTCCGACAGTCAGGAGAGCACAGGCTGAACTACGTGCACTCGGGAGCCCCAGGCGCCCCGGGATGGGGTGGAGCCGCTGGAGCTGGGGGGGCCGGGGGCCGTAGCTGACAGAGGCGCTGCGACGCCCGGCCGCCTGGACGGGAGGGGGGCCAGGAAGAAAGGACCAGGGCAACCCAGCCGCGGGGGGCGAGCCGTGCCAGCACGGCGGGTACCTGTGGGCGCGGGGGGGCGGCGCCGATTGCGGTGGAAACAGCTACAGCAGGGCCAGGGGCCAACGAAGACAGGTGGACCGCGGCCCCAGCGGCAGTCCACGTGCCGGTATTGTCAGCAGGCCGCTGCCCGAATCCCAAGGGCGGGGGGCAGCGGGAGCTGGGCAGAAAGCGCTACCAGGGAGTGGCCAACGGCCTTTGTTTTGCCGATGGCAGAGGGAACACCTCCAAGTGCGGGGGCGCAGGTCGCCTCGCCCGTCGCCGCGGTGAAAGACCCCCGCGAGTCTCCTATCAGCTGCTGGGCCCGTCCTCCGGGCAGGGGAGGCGTGGCGCCCCCAAACCGAGTGGCCGGCTGTGGCCCACTGCTGGTCGGCATACCAGGGAACCAGGAAGCAGCTGAAGGCTGCGCTTCTGCAGGGTGACCACAGCAAACATGCGTCCTTACGCGGCGGGCTGCCTCTAGGGTGAAACAAGAGCGGGCAAGCCCGCAGTGCTGCGCAGAAAGTGCTACCAGGGAGTGGCTAAATGCCACTGGTTTGCCGAGTACAGAGGGGGTCCCATCCTGTGTGGGAACGCGTGTCGCGTCGTGAGTCGCCGCGGTGAACGCCCCCCCCGCGAGCATCCTCTCTGCTGCAGGGCCAGTCCTCCGAGCGGAGGAGGCCTGACGCCCCCATTCTGAGTGGTCCGCTGTGGCCTACTGCTGGTCGGCATACCAGGGTACCAGAGAGCAGCTCCAAGTAGCCACAACGTCCTTCGCGTCCATGCGCGGCAGGCTGCGTCTAATGTGAAACAAGGGCGGGCGAGCCCGCAGTGTTGGGGGAGAGTGGGGAGCCCTGAAGGCGGCTGGAGGCCGCCGCAGGGGAGATGCCGCGAGCGGCCGCCACCTCCCGCTCCCTCACCGCCGCCGTGCTGGCCGCCGCCTGCAGCCCAGCCTCGCTCACGGAAGCGACCGTGGTGGGAGAAGCCCTCACGGCGAAGGGACGGGCCGCGGCCGCCGCGCCCCACTCGCCGAGGGAGGGGAGCCGCGCGCGCCGAGGGCACGGCGCGGGTCTGGCGCTCGCGAGAGCGCCCCGTGCAGGATCCAGCCCCGGCCGACCCCCTGAGCCAGAACGGCTACGGACTCTGTCTCTTTTTTTGTTCTCTCAACTCTCTCAACTCTCTCTCTCTCTTTCTCTCTCTCTCTCTCTCTCTCTCCCTCCGTCTCTATCTGCCCACCCCCTCTCTCTCTCTCTTCCTCACTTCGCGTACACAGCACGGAGGGAACAACACGTATAAGGGACCTGGTTGCTCTCTCAGGCACCCCGCACCACACCGAGGGGGGAAGCGGGAGGGGGGCATGACATCTCTGTCTATCTCACACTTCGGGGGGCCCCATCAAAAAGGGGAGACTGAGAGGGGGGCGTGGTTGCTTACTCACATAACTCACACGACGCAGAGGGGGGGAGTGGGGCGACGAAGTGGATGATCCCCTCCCCTCTCTCTCTTTCTTTCTCCCCCATCCCTCTCTCTCTCTCTGTCCATCTCCGTTGGGCTCCATTGGCCTCCGGTGGGCTCCATTGGCCTTTGCCTTCGTCCTCCTCTCGCCTCCCCCCCCTTCCATTGGGCTCCATTGGCCTCCATTGGGCTCCGTTGGCCTCCATTGGGCTCCATTGGGCTCCATTGAGCTCCATTGGGCTCCATTGGCCTCCTCCTCCTCCTCCTCCTCACTCCTCCTACTCCTCTTCCCCCTCCCCCTCCTCCTCACCCTTTGTTTCGTTGTTTTTTCTTCCGCCGCCCCCCCCCGACAAACATAATTTCCAGCTTTTTCGGGGGGGGGGGGAGGGGGGAAGAGGGACAATCGTCCTACCGGTCTTCCTCATCCTCCCCCTCCTCCTCCTCTCCTCCGCTGCCCCCCCCCGAAGACAAATACAAAAAAACGAGGTTGGCCTGCTATTCATATTTTTTTGGCGGAACAGGAGAAAAAAAGAGGGGGATGAGGAGTGAGGCGTTGGAGGAGAAGGAGGAGGAGGAGGAGGAGGAGGAGGAGGAGGGGGAGAAGGAAGAGGAGAAGGGGGAGGAGGAGAAAGAGGAGGAGGAGGAGGAGGAGGAGGAGGGAGGGAGGAGGAGGAGGAGGAGGAGGAGGAGGAGGGAGGAGGAGGAGGAGCAAGAATGGTGCAAAAACCTTGCGACAACCTTGCGAAAACACCATCCGAAAGGCGGGGGGGGCGCCACAATTCCCCGTTCTCTCCTCCTCCTCCTCCTCCTCTCCTCCTCCTCCTCCTCCTCCTCCTCCTCTCCACATTTTCCTCGTCCTCCTCCCGCCCCCCCCTCCCGCCCCCCCGGGGCGCCCTCCTTCGGGCTGCGTTCGCACCGTGGCGTGCGGGAACATCGCCTGCAGCAGGGCTCGAGCTACACAGAGCGTTTCGTTCTTTTCGTCCTGCTTTCGCTCTTCTTCGCTCTGTGCCTCCTGCTGCGCAATGGGATCAAAACGAAAACGGCCCACGAAATCGCTCGAACACCGTCCATGTAGCTCGAGCCATGGCCTGCAGCGTGGACGCGATGGTGGAGCCTCCGAGCACGCCGTCTCCGCTGCCCTGGGCCGCGGCGCTGCCCTCCTGGCCGGCGGCGGCGGCGGCGTACCGAGGCTGCCGCGCGCTGCGCGGCCGGTCGCCCCCCTCCCACAGCCGAGGCGTGCCCACAGGAGCGCGGGTCGAGGAGATGGAGGCGCAGCGTGCACAGGCGATGCAAAACCCCGACGTGCTGAAGGTTGGGTGGGCGATAAATCGAGGCGGAACGGGCGGGCCGCCACAGGGAAAGCGGCTTCGGCTTCGCGCTCGTGCCGCGCGTGGAGGCGAGGCGAAGCTGCGTGGGCGCGCGAGAGGAATGACCCCGCCGTCGCCAGGGCGATTCGGTTGCAGAGGACCGCCCCTCCGCCCCCGGTGGGCGCACGGTGGCCCGGGGTGTCCCGCCGTGGGGTCCCGTTGGTGTCCCGTTGGTGTCCCGTTGGTGTCCCGTCGTCGTTCCGTCGGCGGTGGGCGGGCGGTGGCCGGGGGTGTCCCGACGTAGTATTGATAGTGAAGTCGATAGTGAGATCGATAATGAGATCGCTAGAATGGGACGGATAGTAAAATCAGAAGTGAAATCGACATTGAGGTTGAGTGTGACATCGGCTGTGAGATCGATTGTGAGTTCGATCGTGAGATCGATAGAGAAATCGGTCGTGAGATCGATAGTTTGATCGTTTGTGAGATCGAAAGCGAGATCTATAGTGATCTATGTATATATACACACTGAGATCGATCATGATGTCGATCGAGTGTGACCGATCCTGTGAGAACGGTCGAGTGAGATCGAACGAAGGGGACAATAGTGCCATTACATCGCAGCGCAACATCGTCATCACACGTCGCCGCTAACTCGAGGGTGCGCCACCAGCATCATCACACCCATCGCACTGGCCAGCAGTTAGTTTTCCTCCCCCACCCCCAACCTCCTTTTCACCCGAAGGGTGGTCGTTTAGGTAAAGCAGCCCATACATATACAGCGAGTTCTGGAAACCCTGAACCCAATAGTACTGTCATCTCTTGGGGGCGTTTCGTTCACTTCCGCCAGCTTCTGCCAGCATTCCACCAGCTTCTGGGGCGTCTCCGGCCGTCTCTCGGGGCCCTCTTAGGCAGTCTTGGGGCCCCCTTGGGGGCCTCTGGGGGCTTGCTGGGGACCTTTTGGAAGCTTCTTGGGGCCTTTGGGAGGCCTCTTGGGGCCTCCTGGGTGTTTTTTTTTCGGGCGGAGAACCCAAAATGTCGGTCCCTGCCCCCCCGCTGGGGCCCCTCTTGGGGCGGTCCTGGAACTTTCTTGGGCCGTCTTAGAAGCCTCTTGGGCAGTCTTTGGGGCGTCTTGGGCCGTCTGGTGGCTCTCTTGAGGCCCTCTTAGGCCATTTTGGGGTGATCTTTGGGGCCTCTCGGGCCGTCTTGGAGCGTCGGGAGGCCGATACGGCGAAAACGAGAAAAACTGTGAAAAGCTTTAGCAAAACATGTGAATTTTGACTCTTGGGGCTCTCTTGGGGGGCCTCTTCAAGGCCTCCTGGGGCGGCTTGGTGGCTTCCGGGCTCGTCAGGAAGCCATCTTGGACGGCCTGGATCGACCTGCTGACGACTCGTGGCTCTCTTGGACCATCTTGCGGACCATCTTGGGGCCGCCCGTGCCGCACGGAAGCGCGTCTGCCGAAATGGGGCCGTCTTCTGCCTGCTTCCGCTGGCGTTCGCCGCGTGTCCGAGGCCATGTCCCGAGGGGTTCCCCCCCAGACCCTCCCAAGGGAACACACAACGGGAACCCCTTTCGGCGAGCACAATGGGTGCGGTTTGCGAAGGGTGCGGTTTGCCTCCCGTCTTATGTGCCCCTTCCGCCCCCCGGAAACGGATGACACTGTCACTCAATGCGACCGAATCACATGACACTGTCGCTCCGTGGAACACACATCGAGGATGACAGTGTCGCTCGAAACGACGACAATTATGACATTGTCTCTCACAGAGGCCCCGGAAAGGCCGCCACAAAGCGACTCGCAAACCGCAACCCGGCGTAAGCGCACCGATTGTAGTCGCCGACCCTTCGCAAAGTCGAGGAAGAACGGGTCTTCCACGAGAGGACCGAGCGACCTTACGCGGTGGCTTACGCGGGCCGCCAGCACGGCAAGCCACCATGGAGACGAGGGCGCCTACGCGCGACCTGACGCGACCAGCTTACGCGCGAATGCCTGCGCGATAAGCCCGTTTTTTGGGGGGCATCGCCCACGCGGGAACGCCTCGGACGAGGCCTGTGCCGCGGAGCGCGCTGCGCTCGGGGCAAGAGGGCGCGGCCCGCTGGCGCCGCGCCGGCGCCGGCGCCGGCCGGCAGCACTACAGCAAGAGCACACGGCAAGAGTGGGGAAGCCAACAAGCACCGACACTGCTACACCCCGGACACCTCCCGGGTGCGTTCTGCCCCGGGTTCCGAGGCACATCCAGCGGTGGCGACGAGGTCCTCCCAGGAGGCCGAAGAAGGGGGAAACGGGCCAAAGCTCGCACCATCGGTACCTTCTCCTCCTCTGAAAGGGATTCTGCCACAGGACACACATTTCGTCGACTCGGAGCTTCGTGAGATGCCCCGGGTCTCTGCGGGTCCATCGTGGGGTGAGGCTCTGCCGCGGGGCACCCGCCGACAGGCCCGCTGTGCGACGGGCAGCGGGTGGAGCCCGTCTCACGTGGTGTGCCTGTGCACGTCGGGCAGCCCCGTCCCTCTCGGCCCTGGCGAGCCAGCCCTCTGCACACCGCGAGGAATGGAGCGGAGGACCTCAGCGTGCCTTTTGGAGGCGCCGCGCCCGCATCCGTCCTCTTGGTTTGGGTTCGCGCACGAAGATGCGACTTCTGCACGCTGTCTTCGGCCTCGTGGCGCTCTCCACGGAAGCAGGACGGCGGGCCTCAGGACCCCCTCTGAGGACCAGCTGGCACCCTCGAGGCGAAAAGGTCGGGGGGGCCACCGCCCGACTTGCTGGAGTTGGAGACGTGGACCCTCGCTGCGGCTCGGGATCAGGGGGCGTCCGACGACGCGATCGAGGCCATGGTTTACGTGGGCGACGTCGCTGGCAACTCGAAATCGTGTGCTGCATGCCCCGTGTTTGTGGGTGGGTCGGAAATTGTCCATGTGGTAGCCAGGACCTGGGTGGAAGGAGGAGAGGTCCGTGCGGGTTGTCTGGCTCAGGTGAAGGCGGAGTGGCCTCAACCTCACGCCCTGCCCTTGTGGCGGGTAACGTGAAGCACGTGCACTCCCCGACGTCGGGAAGGGCCCAGCTGATTGGAGGCGAGGCCGATGCCCAGGTCCTTCAGGTGGTGGGAGGAGTGGCCAATCGGCCTGCCCAGGTGGGAGGTGCGGCAGGTGCGCCTTCCCCGATGCGCCTGCCTAAGGAAGGCGACCCCGTGACTGGGGCGAGAGTGGCCCGTTGGCCACGCCTCTTCCTGAAGCGTGGGAGCACGCATACAGCATTCGGCTTGACCTAAGGAACGACAAATAAGGAACGAAGCCCCTTTTGTCCAAATGATTCTAGGAAGTCTGAAGGAACACCAGGGGGCTCGCCGCAAAAAAGGCAGCAGAACGCATGCAAACCAAAGGAACGACCGAGCCCCTTTTGAAAAGTAAGTGTTCCTCATTCAAGCCGGACCCTGTACTTTCGAATCATATCGTGCTGAAGATGCTATGGACGGCCTGCGGGAGAACTCGGCCACTGCTCCGCTCCCCTCTTTTCGGGCGCGGCAGGCGCCAGTGCGGGAGATCCGCGAGTGTCTGATATGGCTGCGCCCCTTCCTTCCGTGGGCTTTCAACCGCCATGCGCTGTCATGCACGTGCCCGTCGTGCGTGGAGACGGATCTCATCGAGTCCGATCTTTGGCGTGTGCCAGCAAAATGCGATGGCCCTGCGCGGGCTCCTGGCATCCGTTGTGGTCGCCAGCTCCTCGGGCAGGGCGGCCCGCGGCAGGGCGCAACCGATGAAGAGGGCGCAAGGTGCTGCCGCAGCTCGCAGACGTTGACGCGTGAGTTGGCGGAGCTACCCCCCTCTCTCCTTCCCTCTTCCTTGCCCTCTTTGCTCCTCCTGAGGGCTGGGGTGACGCGGTGGACGGGAGCTGCGAATAGTCGCCTCTTCTCACTCCTCCCTCCTTTTCGTTTCTTCTGCCTCGTTCCTCATCACTCCTCAGTCGTCATGCTGCTCCACTTCCGTCTCCTAGTCATCCTCCGTATCCTCCTCCTCCCGCCGTCTTTACTTCCTCATGCCTCCTGGTTCTCCTCCTAACTCTTCAATATCCTCCTCGTTATCCTCCTGCAACACATCCATATCCTCCGTACCCTCTTCTTTCGTACTCTTCTGATCCTGACCCTCCTGGGCACCCTGCTCCTCATGCTCTTCATGCCCCCTTACAGCCCTCACGGAAAAACGCTTGATGGGAAGATTCGGTCCTGCCCACCCCTCCACCAGCCCCCGAGTCAAGCTGGCCTGAGGAATTGTGCTCGGCGGCCACCCCCGCCAACATCGGAAGGGAGGCAAAGGAGCCACGGACCACATGGTCTCGATGCGACCTCGCAACGATCCGAATAATACCAGGTGGCCGCTGGCCGCACGCCTACTTCCAGCAAACTTGTTCGGGAGGGTGGTGTATCCTTCCGCTGCTGCTGCTGCTGCTCCTGCTCCTCCCGCTCCTCCTCGTCATGTTTCGGCCCTTGCTCCTTCTGGAAACCAAGGGCGGATGAGACCGTCGGACCGAGAATGGCTGGCTGCCATTTCGACCCGTCTACTTCCCCAGACATCTGACGCCGTGAATTTTTCACACTGCGGCTCCCAGACGTCTGGACGCCTTCCCGGGGGCCGTCTTGTCCTCCTGAGCTGTTCCTTGAGCCCTGGGAGGCGGATATTGCACAAAGCACGCCGTCGTGATTTCCTCCACGACGCGAAGATGTCAGGATCTAGGGGTCAAAAAGTGATCCCCCGAACTGGTTTGCGGCGCGTTCTAACCACAGTTTCGAAGTGGATCCAGCCATAGCGACGAGGAGTCTCCCTGAGGCCCATACACCCCGAAAAACGTTCAAACACCGACGCGAGCATGCTTCCCTCCCGCTTAAGACTTCTCTTCGACGCGAAGATGCTTTCCTACCTTCTACTGACCCTGGCCGCTGTCCTTTGCAGCGGTAAGGCCGCCCCTGGCTGCCGCAGCGCCACCCTGAGAGGCCCCGCCGGCTGCGTCGCGTCGCGTGTCGGCTCCTCGTTGGGGATAGCGGCGATAGAGCAGTGTGGGAGAGGGCTGCGGAGAGACGATGGGGGATTAACTACACACGTACACGACGAAGGCGCATGCACATACAGAACACAAGCGTGTACGCGTGAGTACCTATTCATGCCGATTCACATGTATGTGCACATACACGTAATGAGTGCTCACATCTGTATAGATGCACGTGCATATGCATATCTACATGTATAGACGCAGAGAGAGAGAGAGAGAGAGAGATAGAGAGCGAGAGAGCGAGAGAGAGAGAGAGAGAGCGATATACAAAGGGAGAGAGAGAGAGAGGGAGAACGAAAGAGAGAGCAAGAGAGAGAGAGAGAGAGAAACATAACGCGAGAGAGAGAGAGAGGGGCAGAGAGATATAGGAGCGGCAGAAGGCAGGGGAATCGACAGCGTGCGAGAGGAGGGAGGAGAGGTGGTGGAACGGATAGGCAGGGAGGGGAGAGGAAGCAAGGGCGCAGAGCAGAAGAGGGGAAAAGAGACACCAGCGACCGCCTATTAAACGAGAAACGCAGAGCAGAGAGCAGATCGAGCCAGTGTCTGCTGGGGCGGCGGGGCCTGGAAGGCCGACGCGGGCGGGCTGGAGCCTTCATTTGTAATGGTGGATCTTCTCGCCCGTTGGTGCTGTGTGTTGTGCGTGCTGCAGGCATGCTGTTTCTAAGCTGCTTCATGTCATGCTGTACTGTGCTCGCGTGAGCTATTGTTGACTGCTTGTTTCCAACGGCGTGGCAATTTCCAGAGAGCGTGAGATGTCATATGCTTACCACTTCCGCTGACCTCCGCGTCTGCGTAATACTTGCCCGCGGTCGTGGGTGCCCGGCACTCATCACGCAGCGAAGTGCGCCCATCTGTCGTACGGTAGTGTGGCAACTCCCCTTGCCCACCGCAAGTTGCGTCTGAGGCATATCTTCGTCTACTCATCCATGGTGGCCCACTTTGCAACGCCTGCTGTTATGTACATAGCTCTCCGTATAAAATCACCCCATGGTTCCATGACGGTGCCGTCACCATCGTCATCAATATCCGGCTGCCCTTTGCTGTCGTCCGAGCTGGGGTCTTTTTTGCTTCCATCGTCGATGTGGTTCTCGTCGTCGGAGATGGCGTTGCTGGTGGCGGTGCTGCTGTTTCTCATTCGATGCCTCGAGGTGGTCACGATGAGTCGTAGCATCCGTCGTTGAGTGCGTCGTAGTTTTTGGAACATGTCCTTGGTGAGCGTCCAAGACGTGCGGCCAACAACATTTGCTGGCGTCACTGTTTCGCTGAACAGCTGGGATCAACTGTGGAAGATTTCAATGCTGTCGCAGTCTACCTCTGTTTGCGTGGTGGTCCGTCCCTTTCGTCTGCTGACGTCGGTGAGAATTTCGGTCTTGTCTGAGTATGGCGCAAGTCCGCACTTTCATAGTTCTGGAAATCCTAAAAACTGGCTTGACCATGTCGTGGGTTCTTTCGGAAGAGAAGTACGTCGGAAACACGTAAGATGGTGTGTGTCGTAGCCCTTAAGCTTCCCATTTGTATGCCAAATTCCCTGCGTTCCCAAAAAGGTTTGACATGACCTATCGGAAACATGCTCGAGCCCCGCATTGCACAATCAAACTGGTTGACTCCGCGTTGACTGCTCAATTCACGGCTTTGGGAGTCTGTCCTCACTGTGGCGGAGTGCTCGTTGTAGAACTGCTGCAACAAGAACATGTAGTATTATGGTACGTTCTGTATCCGAAGTGCTCTCCAGAGGAGCCCCGGGGTCGACGTTATCGGATGCCGACTCAAAACCGATCGCATCGGCCCATAGCGGGAGTTGCATCTCGTAAGGCTGTTCGTGTGATAAGGTCGTGATGATGAAGGAGACAATTATCGTGTTGAGACGAAGGGGGTGGGAAGGTACAGGGCACGAATGTGGAATAATCGCCTTCAGCGTACGCAATAATGTTCGATCTGATCTTGTCTCACCACCCCATGCTTCAACCCGGAAATTAGTTCTTTCTGAGATCACGGACTCGGCGATGCAAACATGCAGAGGGGAGAGGGGGAGACGGAGAGCAACTCCAGGATGAATCCCGACCGATGGGAGCTTCAGCTCACACCCGCATCCGCTATGGGACACTCCACTCGCTCAACGAGGGCTCTACGAGCAGCGGTATCGGTAGCTGTTTCTTGTCTGGTTTCTGGAGCGTCGCACGTAAGCAGCACGCCGCTCGCTGAGGACCGAGCGCACGACAGAGTTGTAAGTTGTAAGCGGCCAGGGGGTCTGCGCTGGATGGGCCCGGGGAGAATAGGTCAAGAGGGGGGGCGAACCCAAATTCGCTCAAAATGGGTCCAGCGGTGGCGACGGGGAAGGCCCCCGAAGGCCCACAAGAAACCTCGAAGCCGATTCGTGAGGCTCGGGGTCCAAACCGCGAAGGGTCGAGTGGCCGCTCCCCGCACGGCCAGCCTTGGCCTGGGCCGCGGCCTGGCCGACGTGGAGCTGACCGCTCGCTCGGGCGGTCGTGGGTGCCCGGCACTCATCACGCAGCGAAGTGCGCCCATCTGTCGTACGGTAGTGTGGCAACTCCCCTTGCCCACCGCAAGTTGCGTCTGAGGCATATCTTCGTCTACTCATCCATGGTGGCCCACTTTGCAACGCCTGCTGTCATGTACATAGCTCTCCGTATAACATCACCCCATGGTTCCATGACGGTGCCGTCACCATCGTCATCAATATCCGGCTGCCCTTTGCTGTCGTCCGAGCTAGGGTCTTCTTTACTTCCATCGTCGATGTGGTTCTCGTCGTCGGAGATGGCGTTGCTGGTGGCGGTGCTGCTGTTTCTCATTCGATGCCTCGAGGTGGTCACGACGAGTCGTAGCATCCGTCGTTGAGTGCGTCGTAGTTTTTGGAACATGTCCTTGGTGAGCGTCCAAGACGTGCATCGCGCCGGGTGGGGAGCAGCACAGCCTGCGCCGCCAGCCTGGACCGGCCGCGGGGGCAGGCCAGCGCACCCCCGCCGCCCCGCCTCGCCGGGGCCAGGCTCGGGCCACCCACGGCCAACTGCCGGTGCCGAAAGTCGCCCTCCCGTGGACGGCGCACGCCGCTCGCCGAGGATCGAACGCGAGACAAAGACAGGCGGCGCGCCCGGGGGGGGGGGGGAGCGAGAAGGGGCGGGCCTTCTCAGGAGGCTCGAACGTCCCCGGCCTTCTGGAAGGTCTCTTGTGGGCCTTCCCCGATGGCGCGGGCAACTTCCCAAGAGGCCGGAGGCCTTCTGAGAAGCCCCGCAGCCCTCTGAGAAGGCCTTCCCCTGCTCACTTCCCCCCCGCGCCCGCCGCCGAACTGGGCACGCCGCTCGCCGAGGACCGAACGCAAGACAATGAAGGAGTCGGGAGGCCACGGCGCAGGCGGATCGGGCACGCTCGGACCCCAACGCTTAGACGTAGCATCACGCGTTGCTTCCGGCGGAGGAGGAGGAGGAGGAGGGGGAGGAGGGGGAGGGGGAGGAGGAGGAGGAGGAGGAGGAGAAGGAGGAGGGGGAGGAGGGGGAGGAGGAGGAGGATGAGGAGGAGGAGTATGAGCTGAGCACGCCGCTCGCCGAGGACCGAACGCGAGACAAAGGGCGAGCCAGGAGGCCACGGCGCAGACAGGTCGGGCACGCGCGGGCCCCGGCGCGCGGTGGGCCATGGCGCGAGCCGCGGAGTGCACGCCGCCCTCGGGGAGGCTTTCTGCTCCTCTACTTCTGCTGTCGCCAATCGGTCGGAGGAGAAGGAGGAGGAGGAGGAGGAGGAGGAGGAGGAAGAGGAGGCACGAGGAGGAGGAGGAGGAGGAGGAGGAGGAAGAGGAGGCACGAGGAGGAGGAGGAGGAGGAGGAGGAGGAGGAGGAGGAGGAGGATCCGCGACCATCAGACCCAGACAAGCCTGGCGGCGAGCGGGGGGGGGAAATGAAAAGGGGAAGGCCCTCTCAGAAGGCGGCGGGACTTCTTAGGAGGCCTCGTGCCTTCTGGGAAGGTGTCCGTGCCTTCGGGGAAGGCTCAGAAAACCTCTCAGAAGGCTGGGGGACGTCCGAGCCTTCTGAGAAGGCCCGCCCCTTCTCGCTTCCTCCCCGGGCGCGCCGCCGACACTCAGTCGGCGACCATCAGGCCGGGACAAGTCCGCGTCGCGAACAGGTCACGACAGAAGATTGTTGGCCTTTTTTGGCCCCTGGGTGCCCTGGCCAGGCCCCTGGACGGTCAACAACGCCTTAAGCTGAAACAAATCCGCTTACTGAAAGTACATCAAGGGATCCACGTCTTGAAAACAATTAAGACATCACATGTCTCGGGATGAGGGCGAGTTGACAGACAACGGCGGTTGGCCTTCGGGGGGGACGCCACGTCGCCACTGCTGGATGCAACTCGGGGAACTGGTGCGCTTGGACCCCAGGAAGGGTCCGGGGACCGATCTTGAGCTGTTGTTGTTTCGACCAGTCCTGCTCCGAGGTCATCCGCCCGCACGGCGCGACCGGAACCACAATGATGCGCGCTAAGGATGTAAGACGCTGGGCCGCCCAATCGGAAGCCGCGGCTGGACGCACGTGTGGCCAACTGCTGCGGGCTAGGGGCCTGTGAGTGGGCCGAGAGGCACAGATGCGGGGGCTCGCTCGCTCGCTCGCTCGGCCGTGCATCCGGTGGGACGCGTTGGCAAACGCAGGTTGCGACGTTGGCAACCGAGCGGAAAGCATGAACTGCAAGTGTACAATGGGTGCTGCAAAACTAAGAAGGGGGAGGGGAGGGAGGAAGGCGAGATTGCCTCAGACCGTACACTGACCCATCCTTTTTGCTGCGGTTTGGCTGTGCCTGCCCGCGCCGGCCTGCAGCGCCGCGTCGAGGAGCTCGGCCTCTGCTCGGGCCTCGCCCTCCCTCTCCCGAGGTGCACGGCCGCGGGCGGCCCGGCAGCAAGCATGTCTCGAGAGTGTCTGGGAGGTCTGAACCATAGGGGCCCCTGATTTCAAGAGGAGGAGGAGGAGGAGGAGGA